TTAAGGACAGGAGTATAGGCCCAATGTTCATTATGGGAATAGTTGCGTGTCCTTGACTTATAAACTGGAATCAGTTATGGAGTAGGAAGAGCAAGAGACATAACGAAACACTTCTCAGAGTATAACCAACATGGACCAACTGAAAATTCGTTTTGTACAGAAAGTGCTACAAATGAAATCGAGGAACACTTTACTTTAATATATATACTTTCAACATCGGTGTAAATCTCATCTACTCTTTAGTCTTCTCTTCTGAGCTGCTGCCACGATCATTGTACCACAAACCTTCCATAGCGTATCAACCCGGTTCCACGTGGCCTTCCTTGCAGTCCTGATGTTTTGCGGATACCAGTCGAGTACTGTCCATCATTCTCGCTCATGCGCGATTTAAGTTTCTTTCTTGCCGTAGGCGGCTTCGATGACGCGTTAACGTCGTTTACCGATCAAAACTGCGAGTTTGTTACATTCTGTAATTTATTACCGTCCTCCATTCGTCTTTCTACTGGTCTATTCAGGGAGCATTGTATTCCATGTTCCACATCCGTTAAGCATGGCGAAAAGGATGTATTCCTTGAGCTTCTGGTAGTTGAACACTTCTTGAAGCTTGCCGAAGGCTAACCACTCAGATTTTCTCCAGCGCCTATACTCGGCTCTAATAATTTCTCGCCGAATATGTCTTCTATTTTATTCTGGCACTTGGGAATTCAAGTTTTCATTGTTAACTTATACTCTGGTGTAATTTTACTTGTTCGGCCATGCCAATTCAGAATTTCATCCGCATCTTGAAACTGTTTTTGAGATTTTATCGGTTATCGTACAAACAGTTTTGTCTTGTGTAGTGACAGTAAGAAAATGTGATCACTGTGCAACTGTTGTCGATATACAAGACTACTTCTGTCTTGCAAATATTATTATTCCCCTCAATGATCTGCTGTCTTTGCAAGCAGCTTTTTGTCAGATTATTGAATGGTATTACTGTTATCACAAATATTGTGGTTAACTAAAGGTTTTAGTGAAAACGAGCTGAAAATATTCAGCGAAATGTTGGTCATGCCACCTTTGGGAATCGGTGTTTTGGTTGTTGTGTAAAATTATTAGCCTGATCTTAGTTATGATCGGTTTTATTCGTGGTCTCATGGTTTCACCGTTACTTATACTTATTTTATGTATTGGCCATCGGGTACTTTGGAAGATTGTTTCTTCTTATGCCATATCTTTATTCGCTGTTTAGACGTAGACGAGTGCGCACAAGACAATGGCCGTTGCCAACACGTTTGCCGGAACACTCATGGTTCATATCGATGCGAATGTCGGTCTGGATTTTATGTCGCCTCCGATGGGTTCAGCTGCGAAGGTATGATGTAAAAAATATTGAATTTATGCGTTTCACAAGGTCGATCTTCTGACGTCATCTGCAAATTTCGATACTCCTTTTAGACATCGATGAATGTGTGAACAATAATGCCGGCTGCGACCATCGTTGCCAAAATGTAGTCGGCTCCTATTATTGTGAATGTAAATCTGGCTTTCGTCTCGGAACTGACAATCATACATGTGAAGGTAGGTAAAGCGGTACAGCGGTGACGTCTGAATTTCGTTTTATAATTACCTAATTTCATGTTGTCCCCTATGATAATTTAGTTTTTAGTTTTAGTTAACTTTTAAATGACTAAATACAATCTGTTCAGAGCGTAAATTGCATAATTACTTTCTTAACAGTTAAGTACGTTTGACCGCATGCGGTATGGTGTGTTCATCTCTGTTCTTTGAGACGGCTTTACCTTTATAACATAGAAATATCTTTTATATTTTGGTTGCGGTTGCTAGTAGTTGACTGCCGTGGTTGGTGTTTCAAAATCTAGTCACTGGCCAATATAGAACCTTGGCTTTTGATTATTATGCTGCGTCGACACATCTAACAGGTTTTAAATCAATAATAAAGTATTATTTATATTCCCTTATGCTTAAACGCAGTTATAGTAGCTGGGGACTCTTTCAATAATTAAGATATCACCGTGCTACGGGGTACAGAGTTAGTGACGCATCTTTATTCACATAGTTTTGATTTCATAACTGCATTATTAGCAACCACTGTTTCTGGCTCAACGGCATCTCCCTCTGGAAGGGGGGAGATGAAGAATCAGCGGCGGCGCTTCCTTCGAGGATTATACTAAAGTAAAAAGGGAAGGTTTGTAACTCTTCGAATGTTGGCTTTTCATGTTGGGGTCATTTCTGGCGCCCG